TCGCGCTTCAGTGCATGGCTGCCGGCCGCCATCTTGGCTGACAGTTAATTTGCATAAGGATGTGCTGACTAGCCAATGGGAAGGGTAGCGGTCGTATGCCAATTACCATGTTTCTCTTTTATTAGTGTAGATTAGTGTCATTCATGTAAACACACATACATCAATATGTTATTTCCCTCTTTTTGCATATCATGAAAATACTTCAGTGACCACCAGACTATTCACAAGTTTTGTTTATGTTTCCTCTACAGATCCTGAGTTGGTTTGTGCAGATTTCTCTAGGACTAAAACATATTCATGACAGGAAGATCTTACACCGGGACATAAAAACACAGGTAACAGCTCAGAGAGAGAACAAGGACAGAACTGATCTTTTGTTTTCTTGAAATCTCTCAAACAATATAGCATTTTCTCCATTTACAGAACATTTTTCTTAGCAAGAATGGAGTGGTCGCAAAGCTTGGGGACTTTGGTATAGCAAGAGACCTGAACAAGTAAGTTCATTGTAAAAATCATATTTTCCTATTTATAACAACCAAATATGTATATTTTAAGTATTATAAGTTAAGAAGATATTAAAGGCTTAGTTTCCAGATAATTGTAGAAAACTATATAAATCCATTAAATCACCTGCTGACATGGCTCAGTGGTTGAGCATGGACCTATGAACCAGGAGGTCATGATTTGATTCATGGTCAGGGCACATGCCCGGTTTGTGGGCTTGATCTCCAGTGTGGGGCATGCAGGAGGCAGCCAATCAATGATTCTCTCTCACCATTGATGTTTCTATCTCTCTCTGCCTCTCCCTTCCTCTCTGAAATCAATAAAAATATATTTAAAATATATTTTAAAATAAAGTGTAAGAAAAAAATAAATCCATTAGATCATTCAGATGGGAAAAAAATCATTCAGATGGTACTTTGTCTGAGGTTAAAATTCTTAAGATAAATCTTGGCAAGATAGAATAATGGTGGCAATGTTGTATAGTGTCCTCTAAACTTATCAATTGAGATGTAACTTTTTTTTTTAATCCTCACTTGAGGATATTTTTCCATTGATTTTTAGAGAGAGTGGAAGAGAGAGGGAAAGACAGAGAGAAATATCTATGTGAGAGAAACACGTTGATTGGTTGCCTTCTGCACCAGCCCCAACCAGGCCTAGGCGGGGAAGGAGCCTGCAACCGAGGTACGTGCCCTTTACTGGAATCGAACCTAGGACCCTTCAGTCTGAAGGCCGACACTCTATCCACTAAGCCAAACTGACTAAGGCAAGATGTAACTTAATATGCATAAAGCTAGTGAGAACTTAGCGAAACAGACAAATTTACACATGCTGGGGAGAATATATGGGTGTAACTGTTTTGGAAGATAATTTGGTGGTAATATCAACAGATTTTTAAATGTTCTAATTTTGGGAATTTGTTGTAAGGGGATAATGTGAAATTTGGAATAATTTAAATGTCTAATAATTGGGAAATAGTTAAATGTAATAGAACTTGGCATAGCCAGTACCTGAATATTATGTAGTCACTAACACTCATGATTTTGAAGACTTCTTGATGATGTGAGGAAATATTTGTTACATCAGGTAAAAATATGGAATTCTGAATTTTAAATACACTATGATCACAGTATTGTGAAAAATTGCATGGAAAAAGACAGGAAGGATATATATCAGAATTTTAATAATAACGTAATTGTTTTGGGGTGGTAAAATTATGGATAATTTTTTTCTTCTTTATTCACTTTTGTTTTTCTCAAATTAAAATCCTGAGATTGCATTCCTTTGATAATTGGGAAGAGGGGACTCTTTCTACATCTGGGAAATTTTTTGTGGATTAAGCCATAACTTTTTTTTTAATGTGTAAATTTTGGGGAGGTAAATTATAAGTTTAAAAATGTACACATTTTTATTCTTTTTTCTTGCATGTTTATATCTTAAGCCTTTTTTTTTGCTCCAGTAATAAACAATGTCATTTTATTATCTAACATAATTTGCTAGTTCCACAGAACTTGCGCAGACGTGTGTTGGGACACCTTACTACCTGTCTCCAGAGGTCTGCCAGAATAAGCCCTACAACAACAAAGCGTGAGTGGCCGACTGTGGGCTAAGGTCTCAGTAAGATCAGACGGGTTCTCTGTTTCTTATGATACTTTTGTGATCTTATTTTCTTCCTGTGTGAAATGAGTATCCCAGTGACTATATCTGGCCACCTCAGTGTTCCCAGAAGCTTTTGAACTTATTTAGAAAAAAGCAAATTATCTTTATTTAAAGGCACAAATGAGAGAAAGGCTACTGTTGAAAATTGGTCATTGTGACATCCATCTTTGTATTTGATTTTCATATTGTGGGGGAGGAACAAACTTCCCTCTACCCTCAAAATTCTTTTGCTTGGTCTAGTAATCAAATAGACATGAGAAAGATTAGTAAAAGAAAATAACCAGGCCCTGGCTGGGCAGCTCAGATTGTTAGAGCATCACTTTAGATACTCTAAGTTTGCGTGTTCAATTCCCAGTCAGGGCACATACAAAAATCAACCAATAAATGCATAAATAAGTGGAACAACAAGTCGATGTTTCTTTTATCTTTCTCTCCCTTCCCTCTCTAAAATCAATAAATTAAAAAAACATTAATTAAGAAAAAAGAACCATATTTGATACATACATAGGTATGGGAACCCCACATACATGAGAGAGTCAGAGAGCCCACATGCAGGAGAGGTTCAGAGACAGCAAGGGGACATGGGTATCTAGGACATTCTGAGCTAGGATGAGTAAGACGCCTTAGGGGCTTCAAAGGGTCATTGCAATATGATAAGAGCAGACCTTTAGGAAATAGTTTTCCTTGCCCTGTAGATAGGTCAAAAGTTATCTCTGATAATAGTTTGTTATGGGCTAAGCTCCTAATTTAAGTTCTTCTAGGTAGTTAAAGAGAGGAGCAGAAATTTCTCTGGAACCTGTGGCTAAAGTTGCCTTTAGCTCTAAGTAATCTGCATACCGAGGCACTTCTCCGGTTGCTTGTTCTGAACTCCTCTTCCCCCGCCCCCCACAGCAATACCTTCTTAGTGTGGTCGGCAGTTAGACAGACATGAGCAGAAGGAGGACGATGGGCCAGGTACAGAAGGTCACTTTGGTGGAAAGACTGGGTGCCCAGCAAAGGACGGTTGTAGGGTGGGACCTCATCCCTAGGGTAACTTTTCCTCCCCTAGCAAATCCCTGGTCATGAGGTTTGGATCTCTGACCTTCCCTCCCTAGAGAACATCTAGGCCTCAGTTGTATTTCAGCTCCAGGCCCAGAAAAGCAGCAAAACCAGAGAAGTGACCCCACAGCTGACCTCAGGACCAGCTGCATTGAATAATGACCCCCTGCCCTGGCCCCGACCAATCAATCAGTGGAGACTCTGACCCTGAAAGGGCACACTTGGAAAACTGCTGAATATACTATTGAGATCTTCCTCTGTGAACTCCCTAAAATCTGCACCCTTAAAACCCTTAGGAAAGCCTGGCCAGAGTGGCTCAGCTAGTTGTGTCCTGTGCCCTGAAAAGTTGCTGGTTCCGTTCATGGTCAGGAACCTGGGTTGTGGATTTGATCCCCAGTCAATTGATGTTTCTCTCTCACATCAATGTGTTTATTTCTCTCTCTCTTTAAGCATGTCTGCATGTCCTGGGGTGAGGATTTATAAAAAACCCCAAACCTCAGGATGGAGGACCCAGTGTACTCTCCCTCCCCAGAGTACTCCCGTGCCTTCCCCTTCCTCCTCATCCCCCCAGGCATGTCACCTTTACCTTCCTCACTTCTGAGTTCCAAGGGCCCCTCCTTTGCCTCTATGACTTGTTTCCTAAGCCCATTTCTTCTACGAATTACTTCTACTCTGTGATTTTCTAAATAAATGTTTTCTTATAGTTTGGGTCTTGGCTCTGAATTCTTTCCTGCCAGAACTCAAGTACCGAGGTTGCTGAACCCAGGTCTAGTCTGACCCCACCAGCCTAATACCTGGTGCTATTCCTGCTGTTGCCAGTAAATGTGATAAGTTCTTTTGTGGTGAGAAAAGAATTCCAAATGCACACACATGGAGAAGTTTAAATGTGAGGGCAGATTTTATTGTGAATTAAGGGGAATCCATACACCCTTGGGGAAGTGGAGGGTGGGCAGGCTCTAACACCTTGTCATGAGGCTCATGTTAAACCTCCATATATCTTCTTGGTTCAGGTAAAGAAGAACCATTCAAATTCCTAACTTTTCCTGGGCCTGGAGTTGACCCTCCTCCCAGTAAGTTCTATTGGGATTTCATGGCCTCTATCCAATTCGATTACCTTTCCAATTGTTCCTAAGCTAGTGATAACCAGAAGGGTGAGCCAAGGTCCCCCTCACCCCTCCCCTACCCCCCCGCCTGGGGTGGTGTCTCACAATGCTGAAGAATGAGCTCCGCTAACCAGAAGATTTAAGCAAAAAGTGTGGAAAATTTATTACAAGCAGACTCAGACTCCCCCCATGGGGAGGGGCCCCAAATAATGGGTTTCCAGCAAAGCTAGTCAGTCTAGGGGTATATACTGAAGTATGGTAGCAATCATCTCAGGTAGAAACTATAGGTTAACTTTAACCCTGCTGTTTGGCTTCTGTACTTATTTGCTTTGTTTAACAATAGAAAAGTTATTTTGATTTTCTGAGTTATATAAATCATCCCATTCGATTAAATACCCTATTGATTGTAATGTGAAATCCCATTTGTTGTGGTCATACTGGTCTTAGAAAGCACATTTTCCTTTACCTGGGAAGGACAGCACAATTATCCCAAGGTCAGAAGGCTCCAGTTAAGGTGTCCCTGTTGACTCAGTGTTCTGAAGACGCAAAACTATAATTTAGATAACATGCTGCTTTGCTTCTGTAAACTGCTTTTTTTGCAAGTCAGATTCCTCATTCCAAACGCTGGGATGTAATCAATACCTTTGTGATCTTTGCCTATATAAATCTGGTGCTGCGTCCATCTTATCACTATGAGATTTGGGGAATGGCCCCTCATAGTCCTGGATTGCAATAAATATGACTCTTTAATTCGACTTCTTGAGGTGTCCTTCTGTGATTCGCGGGGTACATTACAATAATACATGCTATAAGCCTGCTCTATATCTATCTGTGTTGCCACCTGATTGATTCCCTCATTGTTCTTGCCCAGCAACGGACCTGAACGTTCTTTGTTCCTATGCACCAATACACCTTGCGGTTGCAGGCCCTCCCTTGGTTTGCACATGTCTCCTCCTCTGTGTCCAAAACATTCTGTTATTTTTGCATGGTTGGTTTTTGTGATTAGGCTTGTTCAAACTGCCGTGTCTGTCCCTGCCTATGTTCCACCTGCCTTTGTTTTCCACTGACCCCCTGCCCTGCTTGCCTGCGTGTCAAGCTAACTTCTCTCACTAGGCCCTGTCCCTCTGTTTTGTCACCCTGACTCCCATTGTGCATGTCCAGAAGTTTCATTACATCATCTAGTTCCTATTGTGCATGCTGAGCAGAGCACTCCTGGGGATATTTCTGAGGATTAAGTTCTCTGAAGTGTGTGAATGAGTCTGTTTACCAGAAACTAGATGGAATTCTGCACTGTTACCTGCTTCTCCATTTATTAAGATTACTTAGTTCCCTTTTGCTTTCTTCCTTATATTAATAACTATCTTTACCATATTAATAGTTACCAACACTGCCAATACCACTGCCAATATAAACACTATTTACTTTATTACAGAAAAGTGTTGTAGGTGGGCAAGATAGAAGGCAATGGTGACAGAGCACTAGATTAGTGTAAGGTCTGGGGCTGGGAAAATAGGGTCTTTCCTGATCCCACCAGCTGAGTTGGACAAAACAACCCAGAACTGCCGAGCCACATCCTGCTGGACAATAGCTGCCATCCTGGGACCCACCAGAGCATCCTGTTGTGCTGATGGCCAATAAATAACCACTGGAGACTTCTCAAGATGGTCAGGGTGCAGCTGCACCAACTTCCCGCTCATCAATCACCCGCCACAAGCTACCTCAGATAAACCTGATTGGTCCAACAGCAGCATAAAAAATCTCTGCCAGGCATAGGCGGGTGTGACTCCCCCGGCCTGCACCTCCAGACCGCGGGACCTCACCCGAGAGCTTCCAATAAACGCGATATTTCGCTCATACCCTGCTTGTCTTGGTCAATTTATTGGCTTTGGTCAGATTAAATCTTACATTTCAGATTAAACCTCACATTAAACCTAACAATTAGGAGCTCAGAATCCTAGTCTTACTAGTACATAGGAGTTCGGAATGAGTCACCCCAAGACGTGCTTCTGTGGTATGTGGGTTATTTTTGAGTTAAAGGCAACCAAGACCCTGTGGGCTCAAAAGAAACTTCTGCTCCCCCTTAATTACTTAGAAGAATTTAAATTAGGGGCCATTCCATAGTAAGAAATGATCAGAGATAACCTTTTTGATCTATCTATAGAGCAAGGCAAACTTGTAATTACTCAAAATCTGTTCTTATCCTGCAGTGGCTTTCCTCCCCTCTGAAGCCTCAGGGTACCTTACCTCATCCTTAGCTCAGAATGTCATAATACTTCATTTGCCCTTTCTGTCTCAGAACCTCTCGTGTATGCAGGGTTCCCATATGTACATAGATAATTACATTTGGTTATTTTCTCTTAATCTGCCTCATGTAGATTTAATTATTAGCCCTGTTGAGAGAACACTGAGGGTAGAGGAAATTTCTTCCCCACACTTGGCTCTGTCACCAACTTGACCAACTCACTTCACCTCTGTGAGCCTCAGTTCCCCACCTGTAGCAACAGAATGCTGGCTAGGTAATCATTAAGGTGTCCTCCACCTTTAAAACCCAGCTATTTTTTTAAAAATGTATGTGATACCAGAGCCTAGTTCTCAGGAGTAATATTAATATACATAGTGATAAAAGATGAAGATGAGGTAGTTTCTACTTTCATTTAAGGAAACGAAAATTTTTTTTTCGATTTTCAAAGCTTGACTTCCATTTGAACCATTTGGACTGTAGGAAGACTGAATTCCTTTTGGGAGTTAATTGTCTATTTGTTTAGGAAAATACCCAGGGATATGGGGCTGTTTGAAAGATAAATGGAAGGCAAAGCCCAGTTAGTAGAGATTTACAAAGAGAAAAGTAAACATTCCTCTGCATAATAAAAGAACAGACATTTGTTTGTTTGTTTTTGAGCTGACCCCTGGCACCAGAGGCCTTTGGCCTCCAGATGAGCAGGAATGCAGCTCGTGTAGGGCTGGGTAGAAGGGCAGGCTTCCAGAGCAGAGTTTAGTGTTGCTGCCAGCCCAGAGCTCTAGGTTAGCAGCACTGTTTTGTTTCCTTGTACTGTTTTTTCAGAATTCGGGTCAACATTCAAATATGTTCATTTTAGCAATAATCAGCTGCGTCCTCTAGACCAGGAAGTCATTCCCAGGTTCACCTCAGTCCTCACCACACATAGGGAGGCTTTATTTGTGGGACTGTCAGTGTAAGAAACATTCAAACCTGTAAAGAATTTTTATTATTTTATTTGAGCCAAACTGATGACAATTGCTGGGAAGCAAAATCTCAACAAATTGAGAAAATGCTCCAAAGAATGGCAGTCTTGCACCTTATTTTATATATTTCAATAAAAAAGTAGATATAAGTGGGTTACATGAAATCCCTTTGTGACAGATTAGGAAGGTGGGAGAAAGCAAAGGTGGGGGGACACCTCTGAGATTGGATAAAAAATAAAATGATAGTCATACATCTTTTACATAGGTGGGTGCAGGATAGTTAACAGTCAGCAATTAACATGATAACAATAACAATGAAGTCTACACTCTGGTGTGGTTGTTGTGCCAGGAGGGGTCCAGAAAAAAAGAAGTTATCCTGACAGTCGGAAGGTATGTTACCATAGATGCAAAAGACAATAGACAGGCTCAATTAAAGTAAAGGTTGACTTTTTTCAGGGAAGATTCTAGCATAGGACATGACTGAAAGGTTATCATGGCGATACGCAGGCAGGCTAAATAGCGATCTCAGATGGTTGTTAACGTAAGAAAACATTCAAATCTGTAAAGAATTTTTTGTGAGTTTATTTGAGCCAAACTGTCGACAATTGCCAGGAAGCAGAATCTCAATGTATTGGGATAATGCTCTGGAGAATGGCAGTTTTTCATCTTGTTTTATACATTACAATCACAGTGGGTTACATGAAAGATAGGTTAGGGAGGCAGAGAAAGCAAAGCGGAGTTGGCGGTGGGGGCCGGGGGGAGGGATCTTTGGGATTGGATAAAAAGTAAAATGATAGACACATGCTTCTTTTACATAGGTGGGCACAGGATAGTTAACAGTCAACAATTAACATGATAACAATAACAATGAAGGAATTTGTGGTCTCTGTCCAGGTGCCCTGGCTCATTGGTTGTGCCCTGATGGGTCCGGAAAAAGGGAAGTTACAAGTTACCCTGACATTCCAATGATATGTTATAGATGCAACCATAGACAGGCTTAGTTAAGGTAAAGATTGACTTTTGTCAGGGAAGAATCTAGCCTAGGACATGACTACCTGCCATAAACTGCTTTTTAATTAAAAGGTTCTAATTTCAGGCCATCCTTTGTGGTTACTTTAGGTCTATGAATTTGCAAGGCCGCCATGCAGGCCTTCCCTGTGTGGCCCTTTTTGTCCACCGTGGATAAAGAATAATCGAATTTATTTAGGCAAAGGGGGTGGAGGATGGGACATCTACAGGGAAGGGCTGCACAGCACTGAGCCACAGGAACACTGGGTCCATGAAGGTAGCACCCAGGAGCCAGAGTTTCATCCCCATGTGCAGCCACTGGCAGGAAACTTGTTGAGTTGGTGGGCTTGGAATGCAGATAGAATGCAGATGTGCAATCAGGTATCTTCAGGACAATTTCAATTCCTTGTATGGCCTGACTCCTGGTGTCCAGCCAGCTTTTTTTCTGGTCTTTTGTTCTTCTGGAGGGGAAAAGGAGCGGTGTAGGCTGCTCCCCACAGGGAGAGAGCGAACTGGGTCCTTTGTCTTAAGGCTTTTATCTCTCTCTTGCAGGCAAGGACTTTAGGGGCGTTCTCAGGGAAGGGTTTCAGCAGAATTTTCATCAGTTTTTTAGGTGGGGTTTCAGGGTTGAGGTCTACTGATTGATCAGTGCCAATGCAGGGGGTCATCAGTTAGGACAGCTGGTCCTGGCATCAATCACCTGGTTTTGCTGCTTTTCTGAGCCTGGAGCTGAAATACAACTGAGGCCTAGATGTTATCTCTGGGGAGGTGACCTTCTGTATCTGCTGTAAATTGCTCAGCCAGTTTGTTCATCCCCATGTGCAGCCACTGGCAGGAAACTTGTTGAGTTGGTGGGCTTGGAATGCAGATAGAATGCAGATGTGCAATCAGGTATCTTCAGGACAATTTCAATTCCTTGTATGGCCTGACTCCTGGTGTCCAGCCAGCTTTTTTTCTGGTCTTTTGTTCTTCTGGAGGGGAAAAGGAGCGGTGTAGGCTGCTCCCCACAGGGAGAGAGCGAACTGGGTCCTTTGTCTTAAGGCTTTTATCTCTCTCTTGCAGGCAAGGACTTTAGGGGCGTTCTCAGGGAAGGGTTTCAGCAGAATTTTCATCAGTTTTTTAGGTGGGGTTTCAGGGTTGAGGTCTACTGATTGATCAGTGCCAATGCAGGGGGTCATCAGTTAGGACAGCTGGTCCTGGCATCAATCACCTGGTTTTGCTGCTTTTCTGAGCCTGGAGCTGAAATACAACTGAGGCCTAGATGTTATCTCTGGGGAGGTGACCTTCTGTATCTGCTGTAAATTGCTCAGCCAGTTTGTTCAGCTATCTGTCTCAGTGTCCCTACTCCACTTGTCCTGGCTTACTGGCCTGTCTCACCTTACTGCCTTGAATTTTCATAATACATTTTTTGTCTCTTAAATTCATGCTTTTTGTTCTATAAGGCAACTCCTTATTAAGGCAATCACATATAGCAATCACATATAAGTACTAAGTACGAAAGAGCAAGTCTCTAGTCATCTATATATATAAAAGCCTAAACGACCAGTCGACCAGTATCTGTGATGTGCACTGATGACCAGGAGGCAGACGCTCAATGCAGGAGCTGTCCCCTGGTGGTCAGTGTGCTCCCACAGGGGGAGCGCTGCTCAGCTGATCCATAGGTGCCAGATGCCTGGCTCATGGCTGGTGAGCACTGCTGCAGCAGTTGCACAAGCCTCTCCCGTGGACACTCCCCCTGTGTTCCCCTCCCCCATCTGGACCAGAACCTTGGCAACAGCAGGCGCAGCAGGGCTAGGATGAGCTGGAGCAGTGTCTGGCCCAGTCTCGGGCTCCTCCCCAGCCCCCTGCTGCTTCGTGCACTACATCCCTCTGGGGATATAGGACTGCCGGTTTCAGCCAATCCCCACAGGCCAGGCTGAGGGACCCCACTGGTGCATGAATCTGTGCACTGAGCCTCTAGTATATTATTAGCACATTTTCCAAGTTTATTGAGTGCCAGATACTATGTTCATCACTTAATATGTGCCTGTGGGGGAAGAAGAGAGGGAAGAAGAGGGGAAAAGGAGTGGTGTGGGCTGCTTAATACCTTTGGTTCTGTCAATAGCCTTGAGTAGAACATACCTTGCTAACTCAACCAAATTTTACCTTTTGAATCAAAACAAAATTTATGTTTGAGTCCTGCCTTCCTCTGCCAAATGCTCAAAATTTCATATACATTTTATTTGAGCACATGATGTTGAAGTATACCTTTTCTCTGTTAGGATTCTGACACAACTACAAATTGTTTTTATTTTACCTTTTATGTTAGTAAGAATAAGAATTGATAATGTGTCTGAAAACATTTCAAAAAACTAGTCAGCCTATATAAAACTGTAAAGATACACAAGTATAAAGCACTGTAAGGATAAGGCTTTTATTAAGAACTATGGATATATTTTTGGCATGTAAACTCTTATCTCCTCCAGGGATATTTGGTCTCTTGGCTGTGTATTATATGAGCTCTGCACACTCAAGCATCCTGTAAGTATGTTCATTGGTAAATTAATGATGAATTTTTTAAACTATTAACTTATGAGAGAAAAAATTTGGTATTATTCAATTATTAAAAATTATGTGGGAAAGGGGGGTAAATGGTAATGGAAAAATATAAAGATAAAGGAAAAAAGAAAGCAACAAAAATTATGTGGACAAGCTATTAAGAAGAAAAATAGATCTATATATGCTGACATGGAAAGCTGTTCATATTTTATAAGCTATATTATAAAGTAAAAGTTCCAAGTTGAAGAATAGTATATGTAGCATATTTGCATTAAAAATAAATGAGGTGAGGCCTGGCCAGTGGCTCAGTTGGTTGGAGAGTTGTTCCATATACCAAAAGGTTTCGAGTTTGATTCCAAGTCTGGGCACATACCTATGCTTCGGGTTCAATCCCTGGTTGAGGGCACTTACAGGCGGCAATGGATCAATGTTTCTCTCACATCCATGTCTGCCTGGCTCTCTCTCATTTCTCTCTCTCTCTCCCTTCCCCTTCCTCTCTCTAAACATAACCTCAGGTGAGTATTAAACAAACAAACAAACTGTGAGCATATATAGTCAGCAAAGGAAAAAGGTACGTGGGTGAAGTCTGTAGGAAACCAGGCACAAGCTTTCAAGAGCCTTTCCTAGTAGATACACAGGATGTGCTAATTCCTCTAGCAACAAGTTGTGACAACACGTATGAAATGCTATGCACCAGGGAAGCTCTAGAGACCCAGTGCCCAGGTTTTTATTGCCGACTGTTCATGGAGGCACCCTCTGCCTGGCATGAACCAAACTTCCAGACTCCTAGAAAGAAAGAAGGTGTTCAGCATAAACATATTGTTTACATAAACTGTGTAGGTAAAGAGAGCCACTCTGAACATTTAGGGAATGGTGGGAACACTTCAGAAATCTAAGTAAGCAGGATAGCAGTCGTAGGCCTGCTATGTTTTCTGGTTTATGAAGAATTTTTGTAGAAATGTTTGTGTTATGTTAATTTAAAAAGCAAGATGTAAAATTTCATATCATTATGCCCTCAACTCTATAAAACAAACATTATTTTTTAAAAGGAGTAGGAGGAAATATACCTCTGTGTGGTGAAATTATACATATGTTCCCTGCCAATTTATAATTTTCTGTATCTTCCAGTTTTCTAGGATGCGTAAATATTAATTTGATAATAAGAGAAAATGAAACAAAAATATTGATTTAAATAACATGGCATCTCAGTGAGTAACTGCCTATAATATCAACTCATGAAATGTTAGCTGATGAAAACAATTTAGGGTGGACCATGGTGCTTCTAACTGAACTTTAAAACATTATTTTGTTTCTTGATATTACTTTAAATACTAGGATTGAATTTTTTAATAATTTAGTGTTATTATTCCTTGTCCTTTCAGTTTGAAGGTAACAACTTACACCAGTTGGCTCTGAAGATTTGTCAGGCACATTTTGCCCCAGTATCTCCAAGGTTTTCCTGTGACCTGCGGTCCTTGGTATCACAGCTCTTTAAAGTATCTCCCCAAGATCGGCCATCTATTAATTCAATTTTGAAAAGGCCCTTTTTAGAGAATCTCATTGCCAAATACTTGACTCCTGAGGTGAGTTTTGAGGTGATGCTGTCTGGATTTTGACAGAGGTTTTGGTTAGCAGGCTCTTGACACTTGTGTTTGGTTTTAGGTCATTCAAAAAGAATTCAATCATACCCTAATAGGTAGAACAAGATCATCAGTTTCTCAATCTGCTGAGAAGGTGGTCCAAGGTAAAAATGATTTAACTATAAATAAAACACATTTATTACATGTGTTTCACACAATGAGTTATAACATATGGCTGGCAACATTAGCAGGGAAATTTCACCAAATATATTGAACATGGACATTTAAAAAAATATGAGCAATATCTGCAGGAGACAAAATCCTCTTGTCCAGCGGTGACTCGTGGGTGTGCCTGTACATCTAGCTGCATGACCTGGAAGCGTCAGCTCCTCTCTTCTCATTAGTCAGGAGACTTTATAAAGCAGTGGATTTGCTAATGAAAAGATGTTTGAAGAGGTAGAATCCAAACTTAACTTTTGTGTAGGGAAGGTATAGAGAGTAAGAGAGGATCAGAGACAGACATGGGATGAGGAAATGAAACTTATTTTTTTGAAATAGAGAGGGTGGACTGGCAATTAAGAATTCTCTTGGAAAGGCCCAATGGAGCTGAAGTTAGGATCTTGGAGAGAACCATAACTATGTGACCCCCCAAAGAAAGCAGGTGATACTTTATGGTAATGTTAAGTAGAATAAATTTTAGTGTCAAGAATCAGCTGATGACATGATGAGGAGCAGGATTGAGCCATAAACAAATGTCTTTAAAGAATAAGGAGATGTAGAAAATCTCTCTAACGTATCAGTGATAGGGAAATACTATTCACTATTATAGAGAAACTAAAATTGAGGAAAGTTATAAAGGGAAAATTAATAAATTAACCCTTTTACTATGTTTAATTTGGTTTGGCACTGTTATTTATTGTTTTAGATTGAGAATGTTTAGAAAGTAGGCAAGTACAGGATGAGAGAAAGTGCATTGTCCACATCTCTAATATGGGAAAGATAGGAAAACAAGAACAAATTTTGATGGTGACAAAGAAAACATATTAGACATATGCAAATATTTCAAATAACAATGTGATATGAATGGTGTGGCCTGATAATTCAAACTCCGATGACTGCATTTAATTACTTATGCCATTACCTTATGCATATTGTTTCTGTAAATGTTAATATTCATTTTTAATTTTAAAAAAAGTAGTATTATATATCGCCCTGGCTGGTGTGGCTCGGTTGGTTGAGCATTGTCCCATGCACCAAAGGATTGCTGGTTCAATTCCCAGTCCAGGTGCGTGCCCAAGTTGCATGGTAGGCAGCTGATCCATGTTTCTCTCTCTCTCTTTCTCTCCCTCTCCCTTCCTCTCTCTCTAAAATCAATAAAAACATATGTTTTAAAGTATTATTATATATTACTAGAAATATGTAAAGAGATACTGGAAAAATGGTTTTCTCCATTCAAAGAAAATGCATAATAATTTTTCATCAGTACTTCTCTCACTGGGAATAAATGTCTCTGGGTAAAGTAAACTTACTGTGCTGTGAAGTGTCCCCTATGTTTATACTCACACAAGCATCAGTGTTAAAGGTGTGAAAATTTTTAAAAATTGAAGTTGTTTTCTTTTGGTTAAATAAGATTTTAAAATACAGAAAATGAGATTCCAGGAGAAGTGCTTACCAAGATCAAGAATGTCAGTGCCAAATAAAACGAAGGATATAATATATGGATATGAATGGAGACAACCAGCTGGAGCCCAGAAGCCCATATCTGTAAGTTGTACTAAACACTTTTTTTTTTTTTGCAGATGGTATATTTTACAGACCTACTTACACATGTTTATGTGGTACATTGGTTTTTCTTTTTTTATAGAGAGTGGAAGGGAGGGGGAGAGACAGAGACAGAAAAATATCAATGTGAGAGAGAAACATCAATGTGAGAGAGACACATCAATTGGTTGCCAGTCAGGGCCAGGGATCGAGCCCGCAACTGAGGTACATGCCCTGACCAGAATCGAACCTGGGACACTTCAGTCCACAGGCTAATACTCTATCCACTGAGCCAAACTAGCTAGGGCTGGAATCTATTAGTTTTGTACTTATAATAAATTCTTTTTGTAATGAGTATTAGAGTGGTACTTTACTGGACAACTTCTAGTTGTTAGACTTTTTAAAACAATGCTATATTTTCTTACAAGTATTCTATAAATTAGTTTTAGTTTTCTTTTTATAACTAAAATTCTTTTAACTACTTTAAATAAATAAGGTTTTCTATATAAGACAAGTGAGTAGCATAGTAGCAGAAATATTATGCATTTCATACTCATTTAAAAAATATATTTTTTATTGATTTCAGAGAGGAAAGGAGAGGGAGAGAGAAACATCAATGATGAGAGATAATCATTGATCAGCTGCCTCCTGCATGCCCCACACTGGAGATCGAGCCAGCAACCCGGGCATGTGCCCTTACTGGGAATCAAACTGTGACCTCCTGTATGCTCAACCACTGAGTCATGCCAGCTGGGCGTATTTCATACTCTTAAATCTGACATGTTATATATTATTGAGAATTGTTTATTATATAATTATCAATCTGTTCCTAGATTGTTTATGCATAGTTATTTCAATACACTTCCACAGAGTGTTGAATCTTTTTAAAAAAATATATTTTTATTGATTTCATTTGTTTCCAGGAAGTTTTTTATTTCTTCCCTGATCACATTGTTAACCCATTCATTGCTTAATAACATGTTACTTAGCCTCCATGGCTTTGTGTGTTTTTCAGGGTTTTTTTCTTGTAATTTATTTCTATTTTCAAACCATTATGGTTAGAGAAGATGTTTTATATTATTTCAGTCTTCTTAAATTTATTGAGACTTGTTTGGTATTCTAACATGTCTATCTTAAAAAATGTTCTATGTGCACTTGAAAAGAATGTACATTCTGCTGCTCTGAAGATATCAATTAAATCCATTTGATATGGTGTGTCCTTTAAGGTTGCTCTTTCCTTGTTGATTTCTGTCTGGAAGATCTATTTGTTGATATCAATGGGCTGTTAAAATCCCTTCCTATGACTGTATTACTGTCAACCTCTTCTTTTATGCCCAACAGAATTTGCTTTATACATTTAGGCGCTCATATGTTGGGTGCATAAATACTTAAATGGGTTATATACTCTTGTTGGATTGTTCCCTTTATCATTTGCAGTGTTATTCTTTGTCTCTTACTATAGCCTTTGTTTGAAGTCTATTTTGTCAAATATAAGTTTTGCTACCACAGCTCTTTTTTTCATTTCCATTTACATGTGATATCTTTTTTCCTTCCCTTGATTTTTAGTCTGTATCTTTTGTTCTGAGGTGGGTCTCTAGTAGTAGACAGCATATATATGGGTCCTGTTTTCTTATCCATTCATTTACCCTATCTATTTCATTGGAGCATTTAAGCCTTTGTCATTTAAAGTGATTATTGATAGATACATATTTTTCATCATTCTATTCTTTAACTATGTTCTTCTGTTGTGTTTTCTTTAAAAAGATCCTTTAACATGTCTTGTAATACTGGTTTGGTGTTAACAAACTCTTTTAGCTTTTTCTTGTCTGGGGAACTCTTTATTTATCCTTCAATTTTAAATTATAGCCTTGCTGGGTAAAGTAGCCTTACTTGTAGGTCCTTGATTTTCATCACTTTGAATATTTCATGCCAATCCTTTCTGGCCTGAAATGTTTCTGTTGAGAAAACAGCTGACAGTCATGGGAGCTCCCCTGTAGGCAATGAATTATCTTTCTCTTGCTGCTTTTAAGATTCTCTCTTTGTCTTTAACCTTTGCCATTTTAATTATGATGTATCTTAGTGTGAGCCTCTTTGGGGTCATCTTGTTTGGAACTCTCTGTGCTTCCTGGACTTGTATGTCTTTTTCCTCCACCAGTTTAGGGAAGTTTTCTGTCATTATTTCTTCAAATAAATTCTTGATCCCTTGCTCACTCTCTTCTCTTTCTGGTATCCCTGTGATGTGGATGTTGGTATGCTTACTGTTGTCCCAAATGTCCCTTAAACTGTCCTCATTTTTAAACATCTTTTTTTCTTTTTGCTGCTCTGATTATGTGTGTTCTGCTACCTTGTCTTCCAAATCACTATTTTGATCCTTTGCTTCATCCAACCTACTGTTTTTTTTCCTTCTTGCCTATTCATCATTCCAGATATTGTATTCTTCATTTCTGATTAGTTCTTTTTTATGGCATCTAGGTCTTTTTTATGCTGCTGTAGTTCTAAGTTCTCTGAGCAGCCTTATAACCATTTAAAAAATATGTTCTTACTGATTTTTTAGAGAGAGAGAGGAAGGGAGAGGGAGAGAGAAAAACATTGATGTGAGAGAGAAATATCGTTTGGCTGCCTCTGGCATGCCCCCTACTGGGGGTCAAGCCTGCAACCCAGGCATGTGCTCCGACTGCAAAGCGAATTGGCATCCCTTCGATGCATTGGATGATGCCCAACCAACTGAGCCACACCAGCCAGGGCCTTATAGCCATTTTTTAAAACTATATCTGGTCAATTGCTTGCCTCTATTTCATTTAGCTCTTTTTCTAGAGATTTATCCTGTTCTTTCATTTGGGGCATGTTTTTTTGTTTCCCTATTCTGGCTCTTTCTTTGTGTTTATTTCTATGTACTAGGTATATCTACCATGACTCCCAGTCTTAGTAGGGTGGCCTCATGTAGTAGGTGTCCTATGGGACCCAGTGGTGCAATTTCCTTGATCACCTGTGCTGAGTGCTCCAGGATTGTCCCTTGTGTGGGTTATGTGGGCCCTCCTGTTGTAATTGAGTCTTGATTGCTATTGACCCCTTCATGCATGGGGTCGACCTTCAGTCTTGTTGACTGTGAGGATGAACCCCCAACAGAGTATGTGAACTGCTATGCAGATGCTGATCACAGAGTAGAATTTGCTTCAGCAGGTTCAGTGCCCGTCGAGATTTCCCTTTGGATATGCCACTTGTGAAGCTAATTGTATCCTGATCTGATGTTGTCTAAAGGTGGCCACTGGGTTTATTAGTTCTGGGGCCTCTTGGGAGGGATTTTGGTGCAGGCCAATGTCAGACACTGCCTATGACTGGCCTTGATTCACCTGTTTGGAGCTACAAAGCAATCCACAGTTTTTGGCTCACTCTACTGGGCCTGGGCATGAGTGGGAAGGATCAAACTGCACACCAAGGGTGGCTTTACCAGCTCTGGGCACAGGGGCAAGTCAGCAAAAGTCCCAAGGAACCCTGAGACCTGCCTCTACCAGCTGGATAAAATATTTTTTAATTCTAGGATTTGGAGATTCTAAAATTATTTTAATCTGGAAACAATTCCAGAGCAAAAACAACAAAATGTACGTTCAATGCCTTGTCTTAATTATGGTCACTATCAGACTTTCAATTATTATAGATTTCTATTTTTAAAATTTTCTTTTCTTATTAATCCCTCAGATAAAAATGGTAGAAAGGCCCAAACATGCTGGAGTGTGTGGCCATTATGATTATTACTATGCTCAACTTGACTTGTTAAGGAAGAGATATCATGAACCACATTACCACTGTGTTCCTCATGAAGATACCAGAGTTAAGGAGAATTATAGTCAGGAAGAAAGCAGCAGTCAATCACCAGGCCAATGGTAATGTGATTGTCTAATTTAAACTTTGGTCCTCTGAAAACGTCTTGATATATCAACATTCTTTACTCTGTACTCCTTCTAAATTCTCCTAAAATAAATAATCCAAGAACTTCCAAACTCTTCATTTCAAATACTTAATTCTCAGTTCCCTTGACTGTTTTTATTCATTTTTTTGTTTTTATTAAAATGTTTTTCAATTACATTTGACATAAAATATTATATTAATTTCAGGTGTACAACATAATGATTAGACATTTATAAAGTGACTACTGCAATAATTCCTTAACCCCTTTTCATCCAAGTCTGATGTAGCTTATCTTCTTACTCAAGTAGCCATTTAACTATAGGCGCAGGTTTCTACTCTTGGATTTTTAATATTTTTTCTTCTTTGTAGTAAATTTCACTGCCTGGAACTCATGAAGATAGTTGCATGTGTATCATATTCCAAAGAGGTTATTAATATTCATCATTAATGATTGACTTATAATTAAATTATCATTTGAGACATATTAGAAATTAAGATATATTTCATTCAGCATTTATATTTTTGGGATTTTTTTTCAGAATATGGATGTATTACAAAGAAAATAATACAATTAAATGGCTGTTATGGAAGACTTTCAAAGAGTTTGTTCCAGAACAAATTTTTGCATATCTACAATATTTTCTATTCTTTATTTCACACCAATTTCAGTGTTCCTGTGTTCAGAGTAATTGATACCCATCCACAGTCCTGAAGACCTCAGTCATTTTTTAAAAAATGGTCTTACCATCACATTTTTTCTTTCAGGGGTGAGAAATTGCTAACTTTTGGTAACTGTGGTCATTATCTATTGTTGAAATATTGGATGAATAATGAAAAATACAAGACTATGTGGTGGTAGGCCCATAAGATAATTAATGAAAAGAGTAACATGGGAAAAGTACATGTTTAATTTTAAAAGATATTGGGTGCTGTTATAATTTTAAACATCTTAATAACACATTTTCAATGACCTCCATGATTATCAAAAGTTGTGTGTTCCACTAGTTCAAATTATAATATTCATATAGGACTCAACTAATAAGTATTTTACATAGGTGCCACCACAATATCCCTTGCCCTTTCCCAGCCACAGGAAAAATGTCTTCTACCCTTTGCCTAGATATGAGAGCTGTGAAACTATCAATTATTTTATTATAGATAGTTTTATCTCTCAAACTTTCACATAACATGGTAGAAAAATTCTTCTCTTTCCTGAATACTGCTGCCCATAATATGCCCCATCCTACAGTAACCCAGGATGCCCCTCTGATGACTTGACTAGTAACCCTCTACTAATGGTTATTCCAGGCTCTCACTTCCAGCTTTCTCACTCTCTGAGTTCTGATTCCATGGGAATCGAGTGTTGATATACTTGTCTGGAGAAAGAGGAATCTGTGTAGGGTTGGGGTGTGTGTGAGAGAGAGAGAGTGAGATGAAGGAAGAGGAGGAGGAAAAGGAGGAGGAGAAGGAGGAGGAGGAGGAGGAGGAGGAGGAGGAGAAAGAAGAATAAGAGAGGAGAGACAGAGAAATATAGAGAATGTACTTTGGACAGCTCCTGGGTGACTGAATAGTTTTTCTCATGAAAATATTGTTATGCCCACCACTTAGGTTCCTGAGAGACATGAAGCTACACATTAACCTCATTTGATTTCAGCATTTTAAGTGTCAGACACTGGCCAGACACCTGTACAGACCTAACCTACTCTCATCCTCATATCAATTCCTCTGAAATAGTATCGTGCCCGTTTTACATATGAGGAACGAAGGCCCAGAGACCTTAATAAGCCTGTCATTTCATCATATTTCTAAATGGCTGACTTATTATGTTGACTCTTCATAAACTGGGGACTGCTCATCATGTTGTTCCCAAAGGAGTTATTTCTGAAACGATAGTTCTGGTTTTGGAGCCCTAGAATTTACTGGTGTTCCAAAGAACTTTATCACGTAGTTTATACCATGATCTGAAATGTGGTAGTTTTTATTTAGCATCAGTAATTACAGAAATTCTTAGCAGGAAATTTTGCAAAAAAAGATAAATATATAGAGAACATAGGTAGATATAAACTTAAAAATGGGTTGATCAGAATTGTGCTGGAAAAATACCTTAAACATTGTGAGATACAGTAAAGCCTCATTTTTTATTCATTAAGGATTTGTATGCCAGCATGAGGAGTGGAGGTAAAGTGATGGGACACTATCCTGCTCTCAAGGAGCTCAGAGTGTAGTGTGGGAAACATAGCAGCAGCCACCAGCCAAATAAGGGGTGACAAGGCTGTAGATTAGAGGCCTGCACAGAGCATGAGAAGGTCCTGATATGGTGTGTTTTTCCCCTCTAACATATTATGAACTGTAGAAGAACAGATTCCAGTCCTTCTGGGTCAGAATAGTTTTCTGTTTTATTCTCTCCTATTCTCTTTATACCTCTTTCTTTTTGTTTCCAAAGATCTTCTTTTCCAATGTATACATTCTGAAACTTTGAGCTACCTCTTGAACTCAGAACTTCAAGTCACAGGTGAATTGTGAATCTCATTATTAAGTTAAAAATCCACTTGTCAAAAGTGGATTTCCACTCAAGCTGAACATTTTTATTTCCTAAGGCCTGCCGAATACCTTCAGAGGAAATTTGAAGCTCAGCAATATAAGTTGAAAGTAGAAAAGCAACTGGTGAGTAAAATACCAAATATAAGAGGCAATCAGGAATTTCCTAATAGTGTCTCTGTTCATAAATATTAATGAATCCTTAAGTCAAAGTTCATTCCATATAAAAGATCAAGACTACCCTCCACCTTCCTTAGTTTTTAATAGCTTAAAGAAGAATAATGGGAATAGGCTTGAATCAGGGTCTGGGAATCCTGGTTTCTTCCCTGGCTCTATCATTTGCTGTGTAATCTTAGGCAGGTCATGCAACCTCTCTAAGCCTCAATTTCCTGTTCTATAATTGATAGTTGTGGAGTAGATGAGCTTTAGCTCCCCTTCTGTGTTGCAGTTCTTTGATTCTATTTTATTAGAATTCTACACATTTTAAAAAAGTGACTATTATTTTTTACTTGAATTGAAAGTTAACATTCATTGTTAAGTATAGTGTTAAAATTTTGGGGTTGAGGGAGGTTGGATATGCATTCTATTTGTATCGTTCTTATTTTAAACCTCTTCTTAAAGGTCCAGTTCTATTCCCCTAATCTCATGCTCTAGGGATTGCTAAACTTTTACTGAATTTTAATTTAACAATTATAATTTTCCAGTTCAGAAAATGAATCTAGATATCTCATATGGTAGCATAAAATATTGATTGCCTTGGATAAACAACATAAATGGTTTTATTAATTTTCTCTAATTTTTTAATGTTTTGTACTTAAGACAATTTTGCTGCTCACTCTAAAAAAACTCTCAAATATGAGTTTAATTGTTTAAAGAAAAAGGTCAAGGTCAGATCAGAATATGTTTCCTAATGTAAGTATGTTTTATAAATGATTTCATTCAAATAATAGGGTCTTCGTCCATCTTCTGCTGAGCCAAATCACAGGAGACAAGAGCTAAGAAGTAATGGAGAAGAGCCTAGATTCCAGGAGTTGCCATTCAGGAGAAACAAAATGAAGGAACAGGTTAAAAACAGTCTGATTCCAGGGCCACCCTTGTACTTATATCATTGGCTTTTGTACTGTGTACGGTACATGCCTGAGAGAGCCTGTTGCACAAATACTTGTTGGACAGCCTTGTGTGAAGCACCATGCTGGTGATTTTAGGAGATACAGAGAGATATATTTCACCTTTTCTGAGAATACAACATAGCTAAGTTCCTAAAGACTTTTTACTTGGGGTTGATAAAGTAACTGCCATCATTAACAGTTTTGAAATTTGTATTAGTTACCTAGGGCTGCCTTAAAGCACAGCAAACAGGGTGGTTTAGTACAACAGAAATTCATTGCCTCACAGTTCTGGAGGCTAGAAGTTCAAAATCAAGGTGTTGGCAGGTCCAAGTTGCCTCAAGAACCTCAAGGGCAGCGGTTCTCAACCTGTGGGTTGCGACCCCTTTGGCGGTCGAACGACCCTTTCACAGGGGTCGCCTAAGACCAGCCTGCATATCAGATATTTACATTACGATTCATAACAGTAGCAACATTACAGTTATGAAGTAGCAACGAAAATAATTTTATGGTTGGGTCACAACATGAGGAACTGTATTTAAAGGGCCAGAAGGTTGAGAACCACTGCTCTAGGGGAACCCTTCTTCGCCTCTTCCTAGATTCTGGTGGTTTGTCAGCAATCTTTGGCAATCCTTGGCTTACAACTGCATATCTTCATTCTCTGCCATTGTCACATGGTGTTTTCCCTCTGTGTGTCTTCATATGGCCACCTTCTTAAAAGGACAGCAGTCATACTGGATTAGGGGCCCACTCTACTCCAGTGTGACCACATCTTAGCTTAGCTAATTATGTCTGCAATGATGCTCTACCAAATAAGGTCACATTCTGAGGTACTGGGCATTAGGAGTCCAGCATATCTTTTCTGGGGGAGAAAATTCTACCCGTAACAGGATTGTATATAAAAATAGGATATATAAAGTAATTGAGATTATGTATCACAGGGAGTGAAGTACCACAGTCAAAATGTAAGGTGGTTATTATCTTTAGGAGCAATAGGTTTTCTAATTCTGATTATATATCCCACATTTTATTTTATTTATTTTTTAAATTGTTTTATTGCTTAAAGTATTACAAAGAGTATTATATATGTCTCCTTTTTTTTTTCTCCCCTTGACCTTCCCCTAGCCTCCCATACCCCCCAGTGTCTTGTGTCCATTGGTTATGCTTATATGCATGCATACAAGTCCTTCGGTTGATCTCTTACCCACCCCCCCCAACCCACCCTGGCCTTCCCGCTGTAGTTTGACAGTCTGTTCGATGTTGCTCTGCCTCTGTATCTATCTTTGTTCATTAGTCTATAATGGTCTTAATTATCCATAAATGAGTGAGATCATGTGGTATTTTTCCTTCATTGACTGGCTTATTTCACTTAGCATAATGCTCTCCAGTTCCATCCATGCTGTTGCAAATGGTAAGAATTCCTTCTTTTTTACAGCAGCATAGTATTCCATCATGTAGATGTACCACAGTTTTCTAATCCATTCATCTGCTGATGGGCACTTAGGCTGTTTCCAGATCTTAGCTATGGTGAATTGTGCTGCTATGAACATAGGGGTGCATATATCCTTTCTGATTGGTGTTTCTGTTTTCTTGGGTATATATCCCACATTTTAAAACTGTAGGTTGTATAGAGATTATTTTGTTAAATTGTTCACAGACATTTAAAATTTGTGGATTGGGATTGCTTTCTAGGAATATTGGAAGCAGTTAGAGGAAATACGCCAACAGTACCACAATGACATGAAAGAAATTAGAAAGAAGATGGGGAGTGAACAAGAGGTAAATAAGTTCATTCTCCTAAAAGAAACATCGTATTATTGATTTAGAGCTAACTAAATTGAGCAGGTGTTAAAAGTAATGATTTCATAGAAAAGATAACTTTTTATCATGCACATTTTTAAATAGGAAAATTGTCAGATCTTATTGAAGCTTTGCTTTGTTGTGGTTTACTTCAGGCTACACAGATGATGAAGGCATCTGACATTCTCAGTTAGGAAGGGTGATTATGAAAAATGCTTGTTAATTGTTTCTCTCATGAATTAGTCAATAATTATTGACTGGGCAGCCACACTACACCAGAACTGGATTAGATGCATTAAGTAAGTTCATGCCCATAGGGTGGAAAAAAGACCAGCATTTACTGAATTCTGTGCAGTTGAGATGATTCTTGAAAATCCCTTAAAGGAATCACATTGGAGCTCATTCTTTCATCTTTTAGGACACTGCTTTTTCAGTAGAACTCCTAATGAAATAGTTGGCTTGTGTTTGGAGACCATGTTATATAAAAAATACATGGTATTTAAATACTAGAAACACCCTCTGTGCTCAGGAATGCTTCTCGTATGAGAGGCCTGTGGGCACTGAGACTGGACAAGACACAGCTGGGCTCCCATCTTACTGGTACTTGGGCTGCATACTCATTGAGTAAACCATCACACTGCTGCTGAAGTTGATCTTTCTCTCCCCGTCTCCCCCACCCCTGAGTGCCTTAGATGAATTAATACTGGTGAAATGAGCATATGGTACAATTCAGTTGTATGTACTAGAGCAGCGGTTCTCAACCTGTGGGTCGCGACCCCTTTGGGGGTCGAACGACCTTTTCACAGGGGTTGCCTACGACCATCGGAAAATGCATATATAATTACATATTGTTTTGTGATTAATCACTATGCTTTAATTATGTTCAATATGTAACAATGAAAATACATCCTGCATATCGATATTTACATTATGATTCATAACAGTAGCAAAATTACAGTTATGAAGTAGCAACAAAAATAATTTTATGGTTGGGGGTCACCACAACATGAGGAACTGTATTAAAGGGTCGCGGCATTAGGAAGGTTGAGAACCACTGTACTAGAGCTTCACATGCTTTATCTCATTTACTCCCTATACAGAAAAGTTAAGTACCTCATCCACACAAGGCAAACTGAATATATACCTGATTCTAAAACCTCTGCTCTTTCTAGCATATGCTCTTCTACTCATAAATAGTTGGAAAGATAAGATACACATGTATAAGGCAGTTTTTGAATAAGACTGAATATAGTTACGCTCTGTAAGTGCATAGGAGGAATAATGAGCAGCCTGAGGGTTTTCATGGAAGAGGAAGGGTGGAGCCTAAATTGGGTGTGAGAAGGAGTAGAGTTCAGAGAGGCAGGGCTAAGGAGGAGGCATTCTGAAAGACCATGCAAAGGTCCAAATGGAAGACTACATGTGCTGGGAGGGGCAGGTTGGAGGTGGTTCTCTTCAGAGCAGAGGCTTGGTTGATAGTGGGAAGCCTTATACCATTGTCAGCCTTACTTTTAAAGTAGGTCTGTGATAGGAAACCTGAGTCAAGGAAAGATGGAGAGTGGACATTTCTAGAGAGACCATGAAATAAGCACGTGGGGAATTGGGAAGACCAAGGCAGCCATAGGGAAAAGGAGCCATAAACAGATCTTTATCCAGCCACTGCCATTGTTCGTCCCTGGGACAGCGGGTGGAAAGCATTTCCTCACTAGATCCCATTTAAACCCTGGCCAAGGTTCATTCAATAGCCTTCAAAACTGATGCAGAATCAATCTTGTTGATTGTGTGTAATTTGTGTTAAAGGAAGACTCAAAAATAAGTCATAAAACCTATCTGGTGAAGAAGAATAACCTGTCCACCCACCAAGAGACACCCGAGGAAGAAGCACCTGTGCAGGTGATGGTTATTATTAGACATCTATATGTTTCCCAGTGAGTTTTCCCTAGCCTGGTGATCCTTACCCCTTATAGTGTAGTATAATCATGTGGGAAAATATCTAAAAACTCCAATGCCTGGTCTGGGCCGGGCCCAGGCATCCTGTTTTCTGAAGTTGACTGGGTGATTGAGTGTGCAGCCAAGTTTCAGAACTGCTCTTGTGAATGTATGAGAGTTCAGCTTTCTGGATGGTATTGAAGTCAGGGTCTCAGACACATTGGTTAACTTCTGTTTCAACTTTACATTTTTGGAGAGAGTAGAGAACTGGTCAGAGCTGAATTGTCAAATGGCTCTTGAGAGTTTTTTATCTCTTCTTCTGGGAGGTCTTTTACCTTTTTCTTCAAGGTGCCTCTGGGCTTGAGTTAGTGCAGGTGAATTAGGGCAGGTGAGTTAGGGCAGGTGAGTTAGGGCAGTATTGAGTGAAGGCTGAAGGCCTCCTTGAATGTTTTCTTTTGTGAAAGACCCTGGGACCTTCATATGATGCCAGAGAGATCTAAAGTGGACTGAGGTTGAATTTGCACCCAATGAGGTAAATGGGACTTAGGAGTCTAAGATAGTTGTATTTTAAGGAAAATAAAGCAATATGATACAGTTGAGACAACCAGACTACACAATCAAATCAGACAACCACCTTCACAAATATAAGTAAAATACAAAGTCACAGTCCTGTTTCAGAGTTCATAATACTTCAAGGCAGAAAAACCCCTTCCCAAGGTAGCAGGGCAAACAACTAATAATGATTCAAACTGACACATGCTTTAGTGAAGTACATACAAAGGCTGTGGTAATATAGATGAAGTAGTAGTCGATTCTAAGGGAGAGATGATGGAGACATGCTGTGCAATAGTGGAGAGAAGACAGCATTAACAATACGCACACAGAGACACCAAGGAGAGTCATAAATTTCTGGCTTGAAAGGGATAGAACCACTTCCTAAAATGGGGAAGAGAGTAGGGAGTGGGCTTGTGGTGAGGGGCAATGAAGAGATCCCTTTGGCCCTGGCCAGCGTGGCTCAGTTGGTGGGTGTTGTCCCAGGCGCTGAAAGGTTGCTGGTTTGATTCCCAGTCAGGCCACGTGCCTGGGTTGTGGGCTCAATCTCCAGTGGGGAGTGTGCAGGAGGCAGCTGATCCATGTCTCCCTCTCAGATCTCTCTCTCTCTCTCTCTCTCTCTCTCTCTCTCTCTCTCTCTCTCTCAGTTACAAATATAAAAAACATATAGTATGCTAAGTGAAATAAGCCAGTCAGAGAAGGATAAATACCACATGATCTCACTCATTTGGGGAATATAATGAACATCATAAACTGATGAACAAGGACTGATCCAGAGACGGAGAGGCATTGATTGGACTGTCGGACCTTGGAGGGAAGGTAGGGGAGGGTGGGGGTAAGGGGGAAAGATCAACCAAAGGACTTACATGCAAGCATATAGGTCTAACCAATGGACACG